ACATTAAATACCACCTGCTGATTACCAAGTAGTGCCCTCCCTCTGCAGAATATCAGTACTTGTCTGTGTGAACTTAGAGGAAGCACTGAGGGTAGTAAGGGTTCAAAATGCTCTGTGTGGGGGATTTCAGTGTCAACCATCAAGAGTGACTTGGCAGCAGTACTACTGATCAAGCTGGTCGGGTCCTAAAGGACATAGTTGCTAGACTGGGTCTGCGGCAGGTGGTGAGGGAACCAAAAGAGGGAAAAACATATTTGACCTCATCCTTACTAATCTATGTCAACTGCAGTTGCATCTGTCCATAACAGTATCAGTAAGAGTGACCACTGCACTCCTTGTGGAGACAAAGTCTTTCCTTCGCATTGAGAATAGCCTCCATCGTGTTGTGTGGCACTGTCATTGTGCTAAATGGGACAGACTTCTCATAGATCTGGCAACTCAAGTCTGGGCATCCATGAGGCACTGTGGGCCATCAACAGCAGCAGAACTGTTCTCCAGCATAATCTGCAACGCTATGGCCTGGCATATCCCCCACTCAACCATTACCATCAAGTCAGGGGATCAATCCTAGTTCAATGGAGAGTGCAGGAGGGCATGCCAGGAGCAGCAGCAGAGATAGCTAAAAATGAGATGTCCTCATTGGTAGCTTCTCCAGGTTGACTACTTGCATGCCAAAAAGCATAAGCAGCAAGTGACAGACAGCTAAGTGATCCCACAGCCAACAAATCAGATAGAAGCTCTGCAGCCCTGCCACATCCAGTCAAGAATGGTGGTGGGCAATTAAACAACTCACTGGAGGATGTCCCCATCTCCAGTGATGGAAATGCCCAGCACATCAGTGCAAAGGATAAGGCCGAAGCATTTGCAGCAGTCTTCAGCCAGAAGTGCTGAGTGGATGATCCATCTCGGCCTCCTCCAGTGGCCCCCAGCATTACAGATACCAGTCTTCAGCCAATTTGATTTACTCCACAAACCATCGAGAAATGGTTGGAGACACCGGATACTGCAAAGGATATGGGCAATAGTACTGCCCAGGTTATGTCTTGTACCTAAAGAGCAGAACAAATCCAACCCAGTCAACAGTGTGCTCTCAATCATCAGTAAAGTGGTGGAAGGTGTCATCAGCATGCTATCAAGTACCACCTGCTCAGCAATAACTTGTTCTGTGATGTCCAGTTTGGGTTCTGCCAGGATCACTCAGCTCCTGACCTCATTACAGCCTTGGTTCAAACATGGACAATTGAGCTGAATTCCAAAGATGAAGTGAGAGTGACAGCCCTTGACATCAAGGCTGCATTTGACTGAGTGTGGCATCAAGGACCTCTAGCAAAACTGCAGTCGATGGGGTTTGAGGGGCAAACTCTCTGCTGGTTGGAATTATACCTGGCATATAGTAAGATGGCTATGATTGTCGGAGATCAATCATCACAGCTCCAGGACATCTCTGCAGGAGTTCCTCAGGGTATTGTCCTCGGCCCAACCATCTTCTAGCTGCTTCATCAACGAACTTCCCTCCATCATAAGATCAGAAGTGGGGATGTTTGCTAATGATTGCATAATGTTCAACACTGTTCACGACCCCTCAGATACTGAGGCAGTCCATGTTCACATGCAACAAGCTGGCATTTGTGTGGTATGAATGTTAGTGCTGCTATAACCATGACCAATAACGGACAATCTAATCACTGCCCCTTAACATTCAGTGGTGTTACAATCACTGAAACCCCCACTGTCAACATGCTTGGATTTACCATTGGACTGGACTTGCCACGCACAAATAGTGGCAAAGGTTTTGCGGTAGATTTGTAGTTCGGGTTGTGGGTGTTGAGGTTGGTTGGCTTGCCGAGCTGGTTTGTTGTTCCGCAGACATTTCGTTATCGTGCTTGCTAACATCCTCAGTGCAGCACGGTAACGAAATGTCTGCGGAACAACAAACCAGCTCGGCGAGCCAACCAGCGGCAACAACAGCAGGTCATATGCTAAGGAATTGAAGAGGAAAGGTGAATTATTGAAGAGAGATACTGTCATTAAATGAAAACACCACAGAAATATTCCAAAACAAACCCAGAAAATGTGAAGAAACTCAACATCTGTGGAGAGAGAAACAGAGATAATGCTTTGAGTACAGTATGGGTCTTGTTCAGAGATATTCCAACATTGTTGTCTTAATTTGATACTGTTAAATTTCAACCACCTGCTTCAATTTTTTCTAACCAGTAAATAGTTATCAGTAGTGTTGTTTAGAGTTCTTAAAACTGCTAGATAACTGAAATTTTTGGAACAAGAAGTTAATTTTGGAATGGGCAACTATTCGTTTCATTGTCATCATTCCTTCTCCTCACTAAGTGTGTCCTTGACCAAAGAAATGCTTGACCATGAAATAGTGAAGAAAGTAATCAAAATTGAAATTTACTCTTGCTGCACATGCATGTTTTAAAATATTATACATCACCACAATGGGACAAAAAAGGTTTGATGAAAAATATTTGCCCCTTGTTAACATAATTGAACCAGTTGGAACTTCTTAATGTTTACTTATTTTCATATTTATATGAAGAAAAATTACTGGTCAGAATGTGCAAGGAGATAATCAAAGATATCCAACCAGTGGAGCTGACTGGTATTTTTGTTTTCCGAATGATACAACAGTGCTGTAATTTCTCATCTTCTCAGATGAAGTGGCCTACTTTCTGTCTCATCTGTGACTTTGAGTTGCTAATGATATTCTGTACACATTGGGGACAAATTCATTTGTGTAGATTTCATAGAAGCAAAGTGGTGAGAAGGACTCTGGTGGTGCATTGGTAGTGTCCATACCTCTAAGCTGGCAAACCTGGGTTCAAGTCCCACCTGTTGCAGAGAGACTATAATTACATTTCCAAATGGTTTGATTAGAAAATATCTAGAAGCAAAGTGGATTGGGAAACAGATTTGATTACATTTGTGCACTGACAAACAGAGAATGCCAACAAACTGAAGTCAGGCAGCACCTGTGGAGAGAGAAACAAAGTTAACATTTCAAGTCCAGTACGACTCGTTTTCGAACTACTTGATTGAAATAACTTATGGTTTGAGCTGCATTCATTTTGTAATTACAGTTCAACTAATACTCAACTACTAGTTGAACTCTGCTTTGGAGCTGAAAATGTGAAATGTGTTCTGACATGATTAATTTGATTGTAAAATGTTGTTTTGGCCTTTGTTTTTCTTGAACATAATTGGATGAATTTCATTACAGGAACCACCAATCCCCATGCCAGTCATGTTTTGCTGATTTTGTTGTACAACTGATACATTATATTATGTACAAATGACAAACCAGAATATTTAAGTGAATTAAATTAAAGTAAATTAATATTAAATAAACATTAAATTTATTTAGTAGAGTGGTAATGGTTCTATACAATTTTTCTGTCAGATCTGAGAAACTTCTGCTGTGATGTTCTGGGACTGAGACAATTGTCGTTTAACAATCAAAAGCATCTTCCTTTGTATTAGATGTGATCAAACCTGCAGAGTTTTCCCTTCAATACCCATTGACTCATTGACTCATTCTGTTAGTTTTTGACTTGATGTCGAGAGGAGTCGCTCTCATCCTATCTTTGAAGTTCTGCTGTTTTTGTCCATTTTTGGGTCAATGTTTGTACTATTGTTTGTACTATACAGGGGCAAAACCAGGAATTGTCAAGTCAAACCTACAGATGTGATAGGACTGGAAATTTTTTTTGGATTTTGGTTAACTGTAAAGTGATAGCGCTGGGGAGTAGATGGGATTTTGTTTTGCCAGGTGTTTTGAAATCTTCCAAACTGTTATTTTTAGGTCACTTGTTTTGGTTTGTTTTATTATTTCTTTCATGTAATAAACTTCTCTATTTATTGTCAAAATTAACTCAAATACCTCTCGTAAATCCATGGGCAGAGTTTTATGGTGTCCCACAAGTGTATTTGCAGGCTGAGGGTGTCTGCTAAACGCCGCAGATTGCCCTGTAATCCATTCCTGCCCTATCCTGTAGTTTTACATTGAGCAGGTGAGTTTCCAGACTTTAGACCCATAAGTGGTCAATAATCCTAAGGCTAACAGGAGAAGTTTGGGGAATGGGGATAAGCTCGACAGGTTACCCTACTCGGAACTTGGTAGGGAATGGGCTGCCTCCCTCAAGGGTCCCATTTTCACCGCTGACAGTCCTGCCTTTAGCCTCATTTATTGTCATACTTGTAGTCTATTTTGTGAGTCAACCTCAACCAGCTGTCCCCTTGTATCAGTCTAATTCATTTTAGTTTTAAAATATTTGTTTCAAATTGGAATATACCACTTTCAGGCATAATAAGGAATTCAGGCATTCTGACTTTTGTCTCTAGTGGATATTTTACTGTATCTTGACTTCCTAATGGGTTCCACAACATATTGTTACAGGAAGCCATGATTCAAAGTTTTCAACACGTTGATCTCCTGGACTGCCTTTAACAATTTAATTGGTTCAGTTGTTATGAAGATTGAAATCCCCAACAGTTATTCCATTGCCTTTGCTACAATCACCAGTAGTTTCTTGTTTTAACTGTGATCAATGGTTTAACTACTGCTGGAGAGCTATAAACTATTTCCAATAACATTTCTGACTATTCATAATCTCCATTCATAAAATTATCCTACTTATCATCTGAGATAAGATCTCTTCCCGTTGCTGTCCTTATGTCATCATTTACTATCTGGGCTGCTCCATTTTTTATATTTATGTTCAAGTTCAAGAGATACCACTGTCAAGTGAACTCAGTGCAATGACAAAAAAATCACCAAAGCTCCAATGCAACAGAACATTTACTATTGTTGTTACTGATGTCTTTAAAAGAAAACCCTCCAAATGCTGAAGTGTGACATAAAGATTGGTTCATGATCCAAAATGGCTTCTAGCTGATCTTGAGCAGCTATGTCCTAACTACTTTTCTTAGCTTAGCAAATATGCTTAGTGGAACTTGACCCATATTTCTTCCTTCCTGAACAGGAGAGAACCACCACGTTCCTTGGGTCTCTTTCAGTTGCCTGGAGGAGATGTTCTTCTTACACCAGATGCAGCAAGGGAAGGAACAGAAACACCTGGTACAGAAACCTGGAGGTTCAATGACCTTAGCCAGCCAAGATCCAACACCAGCCTAAAAGTAAGAATAAAACTTATACAGGTAATCTAGATTTCATAGTACAAATTATATTTCAAAAATTATTATTACTTTTCCTATAATTAGCCACCTATCATTTTAAAGAAAGAAATGACAAGCCTGTAAGCAAGAATGTTGGTGTATTGAATTGCTGTTTAGAAAAACCAGCTTCACCAGTCCCACTGCTGCAGGAACACAAGAAATGTGAACATTTCAAGGCTATGGCCTTCAAGGCTATTCATCATTCAATATGATTATCACCAGTCTTGGATTACACCTCCACCTTGCCACCTGCTTCCATTATCCCTTGATGCCCTGAGAGACCAATAGCAAAATGTGCCGGATGCTGGGTATCTGAAGTAAAAACAGAAAATACTCCAAATGCTCAACATTTGTGGAAAGAGAAGCAGTGTTTATGTTTCAAACCTTAGATTTTCACCAGAACCCAGCATCCACTTTATGTTGTATGGTATATACTGTGTGGCTCAAGTGAAGCGCAGACACTGAGTTAGATTGGTTGGGCAGAATGGTTTGTTTCTTTATTGTATATCACTTATAATCCAACTTAAACATTGAGATAGATTGACCATCACTTTCCTTTGGTTGTGGGGTCAGGTGTCTGTGTGATATTAGTAGAATGCTTACTTTTGCTTTTAGAATTATAAATTCCTACTGAACTGTGTGTGAATAATGTGCCCATTTTGGCACTCAACGATAATTGTGACCTGTGGCCAGACAGGAATTAAAAATTTGGTTCAGGGCCCTGGTGATTTCCTCTCTAAACTCCCACAGCAGCCTGGGATACAACTCATCCGGATCTGAGGATTTGTCCACTTAAAAGCCCACCAAAACTTCAAATACCTCCTCCCTATATCAGTTTGCTCAAGAACCTCTCAGTCAGTCTTCCCAAATTCTGTACCTACATCCTCTTCCCAAGTGAAGACAGCTGAGAAGTACTCATTTAAGACTCCACTAAAATCCTCCGATTTTCCCCCTTGGTCCATAATGGGTACTATACTTTTCTCTGGCTGTTATTTTCCTCTTGATATAGAGTTTGTAGGGATTCTCCCAATCTTTTCCGCCAGTGTTTCTTCATAACCCCTCTTTGCTCTTCTAATTGCTTTCTTAAGATGCTGGAAAAACTCAGCAGGTCTGGCAATAACTGTGGAGAGAAGGCAGAGTTAAAGTTTCAGATCTAGTGACCCTTCTTCAGAATCGTTCACACTTTCTCTCCATGGGTGCTGCCAGACCTGCTGAGTTTTCCTAGCAGTTTCTATTTCTCTTTCTGATTTCCAGCATCTGCAGGTCTTTGGGGTTTTATTTTGCTCTTTTAAGATCCTGTCTGTCCGTTCTAAACTCCATTAGGGCGTCCATTGTTTTGCTCCCTTTGTACCTGTTAAACACCGCTCTTTTCCCTTTTGTCCAACTATAAATATTCCTATGGATTGACGCTGAAGTAGTTGTTCCCAGCCTACCTTGGCCAGATCCTGCCATCTTGATAATATCTGCTCTCTCCTTTCCCCCCCCAGTCCAAACGGCATTTTTGAAGACCATTTTTCCCTTATCCATTACAAACTTAAAACTTATGGTGTTGTGGTTGCTACCACTAAAATGTTCCTCCAACACCACTTGGAACACCTTTCTGGCTTCATTTCTCAGCATGTGGTCCAGCACTGCACCCTCTGTTGTAGGATAATCTACGCATTGATATAAAAAAGCTATTCTGAATACATTTTAGGAGGTCTACCCCCTCTAAACACCTTATACTATGATTACCAAAATTAAGCAAGTTGTATCCCCTAATATAATTGCCCGATTACTGTTTTACACACCTCAATGAATTGTCTACATGCCTGCTTCTCAACTGCTTGCTGACTGTTTGCGGGCCTTTAATATACACCTATCAATGTAGCTACCCGTTTGTACTCCTAAGCTCTGCCAACAAAACCTTATTTGATGACCCTTCAAAGATATCATCCATCCTTACTACAGTAACTGACTCCTTCATTAATATTGTGACACCACCTCTTTTATGTCTTGCCTAAAGATCATATATCCCAGAAGAGAGCTGGCAGTCCTGTCCCTCCCTCAGCTATTTCCAATGATGGCAACAACATCACAATTCCACATGTCAATCCGTGCCCTTAACTCCTCTCTCTAATCTATAATACTCCTAGCAATAAAATAGAAGCCATCTGGTCTTGTCTTGCTCCCTGGAGACTTGTTACGTCTGAACACCCTCTGCCTAGGTTCCTTTTCTCAGGTATACTGTGTCACGATTGATCTAACACATTGTGTTCCCTTCCCCTGCCAAACTAGTTTAAACTCCTTGCAACAGCATAAGCAAACTGTCCCACAAGGATATTGGTTCCATTTTGGTTTGGGTGTAGGTTCACCTGCAGAGGTCTCACCTTCCTTGGAAAAGTCCCAGTGATCCAAGAAGCTAAAACCCTCCCTCCTGAACCAACTCTTCAGCCATGCATTCATCTGCTCTGTTCTCCTATATCTGTGCTTACGAGGTTGTGGCATTGCAAATAATCTAGAAATTACAACCTTTGAGGTCTTGCTTGTTTATCTACTGCCTAAATCCCTGAACTCTGATACAAGACCTCATCCCTCATTCTACTGATATCATTGGTCCCAATGTCTGCCACAGTCTCTGTCTTATCTCCCTCCCCTTTCAAGACGTCCTGCAGCTGCTCAGTGACATCCTTGACTTAAGCACCAGGGAGGCAACACACCATCTTGGAGTCTGTTCTGCAGCCGCAGAAACCTCTGTCTGTTCCCCTAACTAATCCCCTATTACTATTGCTCCTGCTTTCTTCTTCCTCCCCTCATTGACAGTCTGGCTGCTTGTGGTGTCAGAAGCTGGGTTCTGCTTGCATTCCCTTGAGGAGCCAGGGCCCTTCTCAGCTTCCAAAATCGTAACTGAGACAGACCCCAAGAGACTACTGTACTCCCTGCTTGTTTGTCTTTGATTCACCATTCCCTTATTTCTTCCAGACACTTGACCTGCAGTATGACCATCCTTCTGAATGAGCTATTCAAGTAACTCTCAGCCTTGCAATATGGCACAGTGCCTCAAGCCACTGCCCGAGCTCCCAAAAGTGGAGCTCAAGTTTCTGGAGTTGGGAGCACTTCTGTAAGGTCCTTTCGTTTAAATTAAATTTATGGATATGTAGTAATTCATTTTGAAGACCCAAACTGACACAAGATAATTCAATACGCTTTGTTAAATTTGAATGCAGCAGTAAGGGGAGTGCTTCAATATCTAAACTGCTGTCATGTGGATAAAACACTGAACTCGAGTGAGCAGTCAGAGCTATTCTTCGTCATTATGACATAAAAAGAGCATGTTGTGATGAGAACGTAAGGAATCTTCAAGGGGCTATAGGTAGAAAAGTTGAGTGAGTAGCCTAAAACTTGGTAGATGGAGCTTAATGTAGGAAAGTGTGAGATTGTTAGCTTCTATAGCAAGTTCAAAAGAGATTGACCAGGCTAATTCTTGGAATAAAGGAAAGGATTGCTTTCTCGAGACCGGCTAAACAGGTTTAATCATTAGAGTTTAGAAGAATGATGGGCAATCTTATTGAAATGTACAAAATTCTGAGGGGACTTGAAAAGGTAGGTGTTGAGAAGATATCCCCACGAGTGGGGAATCTCGAACCATGGGATATAGTTGCAGAATGAGGGGAACTCATTTAAAACTGAGATGTATATAAATCTCATCTCTGAGAGTAGTGAATGTCTGCAATTCTCTACACCAGAGAATTATGGAGGCGAGATCTTTGGATGTATTTCAACAGGAAAGGTGGATAGATTTTTGAAATATTGATGAGTTGAAGTCTATGATAAGCTGGCATAAAAAAGGAGTTGAGGCCTGGGGCAGATCAACTATGATCTTATAGAATGGTGTGACAGGGTTGAGGGGCTGAAAGGCCTGCCCCTCCTGTTTCTTATCTACTAAAAGTATAAAATCATGGAAACACTCGGCATCATCTGTAGACAGACAGAGTTAACACTTTAAGTTCTGATGAAGGATCATCAAGCCAAATTCTTAACTCTGTTTCTTCCCACATGCAATGCCTGATCTCTTGAGTGTTTCCAATACTTTCTGTTTTTATTACCTTCTTTGGCACTTGAACTGGCTTGTTCTACTGGCTTAACAAATGAATGCTTTTGAGGTCTTGTTACAAGACAAAGTGAAATGTGTATTTAGATAGGTGGTTTATATCACCTTTTTTTTTAAGATTTTGCGCATTTTTAACTTTATTTCTGGACTGTCTCGGGTTTGAGTTTGCTGGATATTAGTTCATATGAGAGTAGCATACTCTGTGTTCTTTTATGGAGGATAATTGTTTTTCCCAGTGACAAAACAATTATTGCCCTGTATGTGAGCAGGGACTGGCGTTGAAATTTACACCGTTTTGTGACTAATGCACTTAATAACTGACATTGTGTATGAGGAACTAGATCATCTTAGGATATTTTGTTGAACTTGTCCATTGAAATGATTTGTCATAATCCAGACAGTAATTAGACTATTCTGGAAAAAATCATCGAACATGGATCGGTACAGCACAGGAACAGGCCCTTCGGGCCACCATGTCTATGCCAACCATGATGCCATTCGAAAGTAAAGTTGCACATGCTCCATCTCTATCCTGCCTGTTCATGTGTTTGTCTAAATGCCTCTTAAATGTTGGTATGATATCTGTTTCTGCCACCTTCCCTGGCAGTGCATTCCAGGCCCTTACCACCTGCTGTTTTAAAAAAAGCTTTCCTCACACATCTCCTTTAAACTTTCTCCATCTCACCTCAAACCTATGCCCCCCTAGGATTTGACATTTCTACCCTGGGGGAATGACTCCAATTATCCACCCTATCCATGCCTCTCATAATGTTATATACTCCTATCAGGTCAGCCCTCAGCATCCAATGTTCCAGCAAAAACAATCGGAGTTTTCCAAAGATAACAAGGTGCAGAGCTGGATGAACACAGC